CATTTATTTCTAGCGCTTACTTAGCAGGATTTGGACTGTATCTTGATTGAGGAAGACACAGCTTCCTTACATAAGGATTATAACTCATTCATCCGGTATCCCTAGTAACCTGTCTGGTACATGGCAGGGGCCTGGTGGTCATTTTCTGAAATCAATCCAACCAAATGAAATAAAATGAATCAATATGTAGGTAAATGAAGTCCTCATCAAGCCCTGGCTTCAACAATTCTGTGTGGCACCTAAGAGCAATGTCAGGCTGTGAGAGGCACAGAAATGAACAAAACACAGTCCTTCTTCTCAAGTGTTCAAGCCCTAGTGGGGGAGGCAGATATGGACAAAAGTATTTTATAATCAACTAGACAATAACAAGAGTTCAGAAAGTAAAAGGGAACCGAAGAAAAATTAATTCTGAATAGCAGACCGAGGAAGGCATCCCCATAGATTTAGTATCTAAGATTGGCCTTGAGGCATTACTGGGATTTACCCAGGAGGAAATTAGGGAAATGAACAGTTGGGGCATGGGCAGTTCCACACAGTATAAGCTAAGTCAGATGGGCTTTCCCCTGACCTTCATGCAAGGCGTAGGGAAGACATTAAAGGCTCCTTTTCTTTCTGATTTCCTTGTTACTGCTCTCATTTTTCAAGTATTTTGTCTCTGGTTTATTAAGTCTGCCTCCTGGTGCCTCGGCTGATTTCATCTAGGAAAAGTTTCTCATTAGCATTTCTATAGGGAGCACCTGCTACCCTATCTATCCCTATTATCTGAAGGCCAGGGTAAGGGGGTCAACTGGGAGAGGAATTTTAATCCCCTCTTTATGACTCCTCTGTTTTCTAATTGAGAACGTCAGGTCTAAAGTAACAAATGGCTTTCCCAGTGAAATCCATCATCAACATTAAAAATGGTAATAAAGACATGCTTCTCAATTTTTAAAAATTATCTATGTAAAATGAATGCATTAAAAATTAATCAACTTCATGATTGTGAATAACTCTAAGGCTACCTCAGATACCACTCAAATGTAAAAATCCCAGGCAAGTATGGACTATGAATTAGATGAATTGAATTCTCAAAACCACAGTATCAAAGGATACCTAATGCTATTTGCAACTGCATATTGCAGGGGAAAACCAGTTAGCATGTCCCTGATTCTGTATGTTGAATGTATATTTTACATTTCATACCAATATAGTAAATTGATGGATAATGTGCCCTTTCTCTTTTTAAACGGATTGCTCACATTGATGTCATGTGACAGATGTCATTTGCAAAGCCCATAAGATGAACCAGTCACCATGGTGTAAACACACCATGATTTATGTAGAGTGGCAGAAGAAAAGGGTGTGTAAATCAAATTATCATGGAAATGGAGCCCAACATGGCTTCTGTGGAGATGCAAGTCCCTACATCTGCAGTGGACATGCACATACTTAAATTCAGGAGATATCCAGAATCACAGCAAGGAAAAGAATGTGAGACAATAGGAAGGAAAATCAATGTTCTAGACAAGCTTGTGATGTCCAAACATTTTTCTTTAGGGTATATGTAATGTATTGAATATCTTCTTTCTTTCTTTCTTTCTTTTTTGAGTTGGAGTCTCACTCTGTCACTCAGACTGGAGTGCAGTGGCCGCTCCCGGCCACCGCAACCTCGACCTGCGGGCTCCAGCGATCCTTCCGCCTCAGCCTTCCAAGTAGCTGGAACTACAGGCGCACATTACCACGCCCAGCTAAATTTTTGATTTGTTGTAGAGATGAGGTCTCACCAAGTTGCCCAGGCAGGTCTTGAACCCACGGCCTCAGGCAATCCATTCACCTCAGCCTCCCAAAGCGTGGGATTACAGGCTGACCCACCAAGCCTGGTTGAATATCTTATTTCTTCCCAGCTACTTTCACCCAAAATACATTTGCCTGTTGTTTGCTAATTTTTCTTCTTGAACAAAAAATAATGTTAAATTTCACATCAAACTTGTCATGCACTTAAATTGACCATTAAAGAAATTGATGCTTCTGGCCAGGCACGGTGGCTCATGCCTATAATCCCTGCGCCTTGGGAGGCCGAGGTGGAAGGATTGCTTGAGCCCAGGAGTTTGAGACCAGCGTGAGAAACACAGTGAGATCTCATCTCTACCCCTGCCAAAATTTGATGTCTCTTAGCAATACTTATTCTCTTAATGTTTCAAATCCCTTCTGATCATACTGCTGGCCCCAAAGTCATAAGTAAAATTAAAATACAGAATATCTGAGTTAAAATTTTTTTTAGGTGTTTAAATATTTTTTGACAGGTTGATAGAATTCTGAGTTGCTAAAAATAGTCATTCTCATCATTTTTGAGAGCATAACCGTCTCCCACCCAATCCAATTGTTTCCAGTACATGTGTAATTTAAACTTTGAAGCATGACATGCTTACTGCATGGTTAAGATGTTATTTCATATGGAACAAGGCACAACCCAAAATTTGGAGTAACATATCTGAAGGATGTAGTCATTTCTTGACAGTCAGGACAATCATCCATAAACAAAACAAGCTCTACCAACTTGGAAACAAACTGATTAGGATCACCAAGGAGGTTTGAGAACCTGGCATTGACTATGTGGAGGTGAGGAAAGATAACTTCTGCCTGGTGGGTGCCACCTGCTGCAGAATGACAGCATGGGAGAAGGAAGGTGAAGAGGCTAGACTGGGAATCTGTGATGTTTGGCAAGCCTGAAGGCTCTCAGAGAATGTAGATCAAGAAATGAAGTCGGACTAGGTCACACCTGTAATCCTAGCACTTTGGGATGCTGAGGTGGAAGGATTGCTTGAGCCTAGGAGTTTGAGATCAGTCTAGGCTACATAGCGGGACCTTATGCCTACAAAGAATCATAGCTGGGTGTGGTGGCACACACCTGTAGTCCCAGCTACTAGGGAGGCTGAGGCAGAAGGATCATCTGAGCCCAGGAGGTTGTAGTTGTGGTGAGCCAAGGTCATGCCACTGTACTCAGTCTGGGTGACAGAGTGAGACAAGAAAGAAATAAAAAAAGAAAGAAAGAAAGAAAGGAAGGAAGGAAGGAAGGAAGGAAGGAAGGAAAAGAAAGAAAGAAAGGAAGGAAGGAAGGAGGAAAGGAAGGAAGGAAGGAAGGAAGGAAGAAAGGAAGGAAGGAAGAAAGAAACAAAGGAAGAAAGAAAGGAAGAGAAAAGAAATGAAGTCGGGTCTTGAAAACAAGAGAGCCATAGCAGAACCAGAAAGCTACATCCTGACTTGTTTTTTATTCCTCTTGCTTGTTTCCTCTCTTTTGATTCTCTCTTGGTAGCAGCCTAAGAAGATGGTGCAAATTCTATCTCCTCGTGGCTATACAAGGGAAAGGATATGTGTCCTTGCTTGGCCCAGACCTTTGAAAGGTGTACTCCTGTGGCCCCAGTGTGTTTGTGATAGCAAGAAACTAGGAGGGAGATGCGAAGCGGGAGGTGGGATTCAGGGAGATGGGAGATGCTGGGGTGGGGGTAGGGACAGATGTTGTTTTCACAGAGAGAATATCTGCATATGCTAGCCTTTCCATAGTATCTGAGGGAGTGTCTGTAATGATCACTGCAGGACATCAGTCTGACATGAAGCTACATATAGGATTTTGGCAAAGGACACTAACTCTGCAGTCCTTCCTGCAACACTCCTGCAGGAAGGAGGCAACTAACTGGTTGTGGCATTGATGAAGGACCCCATAAGCCACATTTCGAGTACCTCTAGCTCAATTACTAATCATATACATCTTCCTCCCCTGAGACTCCCAAATCTGATGTTCTATGTTCAGAGTCAACTGTGATTTGTTAGCTAATTGATGTTGGTGACACATAAGGGCAGAATTGAAAACAAAGCTACATATATATATATATATGATGGATAAAGGGTGACAAAAAAGACTGGGAGGGGTGAAGCTGCAGCAAAGGGAAAATTCTAGAAGGAAAGAGAGAGAGAGAGAGAGAGAGAGAAAGGGCCATTCATTCACAAGCAGTTGAATGTCCTAAAGAGGAGGTTCTTGGTGGTAGGAGAGTGAGAGGCACATCTGGAGAACAAGAAGGGAAAGGAGAGAGGTCAGAGATGCCTCAATAGGGGATAAGGATAGAGATATCTAGGAAGTAGAAGTCAGAATAATGAGGTGTCATGTAGAAGGTAGGAATGGACCAAGACATACTCATTATCACCATGCGACAGGCACAAACTGTTCTCCTGAAACATCTTATTTAATCTTCACAGTGTCTACCACAGTGCTTGGCATATAGTAGGTCCTCAAAAATATAGTGAATATTTAAAATCAAATCAATAAATGAATGAACAACCATAGAGATATCTATTATCAATTACATCTAACCCATAAGGACCTAAGGCCCAGAAAGGTTAAGAAACTTGCCCAATGTGTTACAGCTAGTAAGAGGCAGAAAGAAAATTAAATTACTTCCCAGTCCCAGTGGTGGAAGCAAGGGGGTGGCATGTAAGGGTCCTGCGGTAATCTAGAAAAAGCTATGGAGCTTGGGCGTGGCCCAGAAACTGAGGAGGACAGAAGAATGGAGGGCCAGGTGAACTGGGCTAGGAAGAAGAGGGAGAGATCACTTGGAAGGAATTATTCTAGAGGGATGGGGACCCTTTGGGAAGGCGTCTAGGCCGGTGGGCGACAGCCAAGCCAGCAGGGGGCCACATCCAGAAGAAGGCAGGTGAGCTGGGTGCGGCAGGACGGAAGCACAATGTTCGAGGAAATTGCAGAGGGTCTCTGTTGGGCCCGCAGGGGTCTGAGGTGGAGCGGGAATGGGGAAACGGTGGCGAACGTGGGCAGACTGGGATGGAAAATACCGACGGCTTGCACACAGGCCGGGGCAGAAGACAAGCCTGTGAAGGGAGGTTGCCCGGGACTTGGCTAGGAAGAGGACGTGGTCTGGGGCTGCAGAGGGGGCTGAACGCGAGGCCTGAACTGGGGAGAAGGCGCCCTGGGCATCCGTGGGACAAGGTGAGGACAGCGGCCCGCGTCTCACCTGTAGGAGCTGCTCACAGCACTCGCCACCTCCTCGCGGATCTGCCGGTTGAGGGCGTCTGCCGCCGCGCGCCCCTTGCCACCCTCGGGGCCCGTGGCCTGGACCTGGGCCTGGGCCGCGGGCGGCGGCGTCTGCTCGTGCCCCAGCCCGTCGGAGCGTCGCACCATCCAGGCGGGCCCGGCCTTCCTG